CAACTCTTTGTTTCATTGATTCTTTGTATTGTTCTCTTTGTTTCTATTTTGTTGATCTTAGCCATGAGGTTGTTTATTTCCTGTGGTCTTCTCCTAGGTGAGTTTGCTTCTTTTTGTTCTAGAGCTTTCAGCTGTTAAGTCTAGTGTGAGATGTCTCCAAATTCTTGATGTAGTAGGCATTTAGTGTTATGAACTTTCCTCCTAGCACTCCTGTAAGTTTTGATATGTTGTGCATCCATTTTCATTGAATTCTAGGAAGTCTTTCATTTCTTTCTTTCTTTCTTCCTTGACCTAATGGTAATTCAGTTGACAGTTGTTAAGTTTCCATGAGTTTGTAGGCTTTCTGTAGTTGGTGTTGTTGAATTCTAACTTTAACTCATGGTATATTTGGATGAAACTTTCTGTAGCTATCTGTAAGTCCATTTGAGTCATAACATCTGTTAGTTCCTTTATTTTTCTGGTAAGTTTCTGTTTGGCAATCCTGTCCACTGATGAGAGTGGAGTGTTGAAGTCTCCCACTATTAATGTGTGGTGTTTGATATGTGATTTAAGCTTTAATACTATTTTTACATATGTAAATAGCCTTGTATTTGGTACATAAATGTTCAGAATTGAGACTTCGTCTTGGATCTTTCTTGTGGTAAATATAAAATGTCCTTCCCCATCTCTTTTGATTAATTTTATTTTGAAGTCTCTTTTGTTAGATATTAGGATAGCTATACCAGCTTACTTCTTTGTCTGTTTGATTGGAAAATCTTTTCCCAACCCTTTACTCTGAGGTAAATGTCTGTGTTTGTATTTGAGGTCTGTTTCATGTATGCAGCAAAAGGATGGATCCTGTTTTCATGTCTAATCGGTTAGCCTGTGTCTTTTTATAGGTGAAGTGAGACCATTAATATTAAGGGAAAATAATGACCAGTGATTACTAGTTCCTGTTACTTTTTGGTTTTATTATTGGTGGTTGTGGTGTATGTGTGTTTCCCTTCTTTGGGATTTGTTGGTGTGGGATTATCTATTGCCTGTTTTCATGGGTGCAGCTAACTTCCTTGAATTGGAGTTTTACTTTTAGTACTTTCTGTAGGGATGGATTTATGGATAGGTATTGTTTAAATCTGGTTCATCTTGTTTTCTCCATCTATGGTGACTGAAAGTTTTGCTGGGTATAGTAGTCTCGGATGGCATCCATGGTCTCTTAGTGTTTGCAAAACATCTGTCCAAGGACTAGAGAAATGGCTCAGTGGTTGAGAGTACTGGCTGCTGTTCCGGAGGTCCTGAGTTCAATTCCAGCAACCACATGATGGCTCACAATCATCTGGTGCCCTCTTCTGGCCTGTAGGGGTACATGCAGACAGAACACTATACATAATAAATAAACAAATCTTTTTTTAAAAGTCTCCTTGTCTTAAAAAAAAAAAACAAAATAAAAAATAAATAAATAATAAAAAAGTCTATCCAAGACCTTCTAGCTTTTAGAGTCTCATTGAGAAGTTGGACATAATTTTGATAAGTCTGCCTTTATATGTTCCTTGCCTGTTTTCCTTTGCAGCTCTTAATATTCTTTATTCTGTATGTTTAGTGTTTTGATTATCATGTGGTTAGATGACTTTTTTTGGTCCAGTCTATTTGGTGTTCTGTAGGCTTCTTGTATCTTCATAAGCATGTCCTACTTTAGGTTGGGAAAGTTTTCTTCTGTGATTTTGTTGAATATGTTTTCTGCGCCTTTGAATTGGGTTTCTTCACCTTGTTCTACACCTATTATCCTTAAGGTTGGTCTTTTCATGGTGTCCCAGATTTCCTGAATATTTTGTATTAAGAATTTTTTGGATTTAACATTTTCTTTGACCAATGAATCTATTTCCTCTATTGTATCTTCAGCACCTGAGATTCTCTCTTCCATCTCGTGTATTCTGCTTGCATCTGTAGTTCCTATTCACCTTCCCAGAATTCCCATTTCCAGAATCCCCTCAGTTTGTGTTCTCTTTATTGCCTCTATTTCAGTTTTCAAGTCTTGAACTGTTTCCTTCACCTGTATGATTGGTTTTTTTTTTCTGATTGTCTTTAAGGGATTAATTGATTTCTTCCACTTTTTGTTTGTCTTTTCCTCCATTTCACTTTTAAAAAATGTATTTTTTATTTAAATTTGAAACAAGCTTGCTTTTACATGTAAATTGCAGTTCCCTCTCCCTCCCTCCTCCCATGCCCCCAAACCCCTATCCCATCCCCTCTCTGCTCCCCAGGGAGGGTGAGGTCTTCCACGGGGGATCTTCACAGTCTGTCATATCCTTTGGAGAAGGGCCTAGGCCCTCCCCCGTGTGTCTAGGCTGAGAGAGTATCCTCCCTCTCTGTGGAATAGGCTCCCAAAGTCCATTCGTACACAAGGGATAAATACTGATCCACTGCCAGAGGCCATAGATTGCCCAGGCCTCCAAACTGACACCCAAGTTCAGGGGGTCTGGATCAGTCCCAAGCTGGTTTCCCAGCTATCAGTCTAGGAAGCAAGAGTTCTCCCTTGTTCAGGTCAGCTGTTTCTGTGGGTTTCTCCAGCAGGGTCTTGACCCCTTTGTTTATCAGTCTTCCCTCTCTGCAACTGGATTCCAGTTCAGTTCAGCCTTGTTGGAGGAGGTGTATCACTGGGGTAGGCCCAGTGTCTCTCTCCCTGTCTCTTTCTATCTCTGTCTCTGTCTTTCTCTCTTTCTGTCTCAGTCTCCCTCCCTTTTTCCTTCCCTCTCTTTTTCTCTCTTCCCCCCTCTCCCTCGGATATAAAGCTCTCAGCTACTTCTCCATCGCCATGCCTGTCTGCTGTGCACCTTGATGGTCATGGGCTAACCCTGAAACTGTAAGCAAGCACTGAATGAAACACTTTCTTTGACAAGACTCACTCTGGTCACGGTGTCTCTTCACAGCAGTAGAGCAGTAGCTAAGATACTTTGCCTGCCTATGTGCAATCTTCAGTTCAAATATATGGCAATCTGTCTCTGGAAGCCTGGAACTTTGAGCAGCTGGAGTAGTTTCCATTTTTCTTCCATTTAGCTCCTTTTTAATTCCCAACAGTTCTTCCCGTGCATTTCGTTAGCAAGATGTAACTTTCTAGAATAGAGTGGCACTGGCACTCTGTCTGTTGCTTTCCTGCCTTTCTCCTCTTTAACTGGAACACATTTTGTAGAACTTTTTATGTAGTTTTCTATTTTATCCAGACTTCAACTGTCATTTCCTGTTTCTTTCTTTGTTCTTGTTTGTGCTTTTGATTATCTTCCAATTTATTGAGGAAATACAATATATTTATTGTATCCTTTCTTTAAGGTTTTTTGTCTCTTTTTGCTGCATTTCAGTTTTCAAATTCTGAATGGATTTTCTTCCTTTCGTCTCAAGACAGAAGCTGTGGGCAGCGCCTCTCATACTGTTGAGCTTCGTCCTCTGCTTTTCCAGGGAAGTATTCTAGAACTTTTCCATGGATTCTCACTTCCCTTGATCAATTTGTCACTCACCTTCACAAAGTTATAGTCGTCATAATAACCAACACTATTCCATACTGTGCTTAGTTCTGAAGTCCCATTTTTTGTTTGTGGCTGAGAGATGCACAGTTGGTAAAGTGTTTAACACACAGGGGTGAGGACCTGAGTTAGATCCCCACCACCACATCATAAAGTCAGATATGGTGGCATGAAATGGTATTAACAATACCAGGGAGGTGGAGACAATGGATCTCCAGGGCTCACTGACTAGCTAACCTCATTTATTTAGTGATTATACCTTTGTCAGATTTGCTATTCACTCAAGTTACAACTGTCTTGGTTCTGAGTCTGATAAGTGACTTTTTATTACATTCTGATAGCTTTATCTATTACAGTAAGAGAGCTCCAGTCCTATTTATCCATGCTATTTTAACAGACATCCACTCTGCATTAGTTTAACATACAGGGTGCTTGTTACATTTTTTTTAGTTTAACATGCAGGGTGTTTATTACTTTTTTGGATTTTTTGAGACAGGGTTTCTCTGTGTAGCTTTGTAGACCAGGCTGGCCTCGAACTCCGAGAGATCCATCCACCTCTACCTCCCAAGTGCTGGGATTAAAGGCGTGCGCCACCACCGCCTGGCTTGTTTATTACATTTATGTGGTTTTCTTCCAATGAGTTTTGTTTTCAGAGACTTTGTGGCTTTAATTTTGCATCTTTTGGTTTCTCTAATACTGCTAGATCTACCATGGGTTCTGGATGATGCTGTCTAAGGCAAGAAAGGCGTACAGTTGTGGAAGGAGGATCTCAACATAGGGAAGAAAAGGCTTCCGAAGCCAGGTTACTAGTTATAGCTGGGTCTCTCCTATTAGCTCTGCTTCTTCACTTTTGTAGCTCTTGTTAAAGGAAATATCTCATGCCTACAATGCTGATACTTCTTGTTCATTGGCCTTTCTGCCACACCATCGCTAGATGGAGCTGTTTGTACATGTTATGTCTCAGCAGCTTCTCATGGGAAGTGTCTGTGTTGGGATGGAATGCAAGTATACTCCCCAGTCTACTTACTGTTGACAAATACTAGGAGGATCCCTTTTCAGAGTCGTATCGGGTTTGCATGATATCTGACTTTAAAAGGTTTCACCCTCAGTCTGAGGAAGGAGTAAGTCTACCTAGACAGCCTTCTACAGATAGTTTTAAGTTGGGAAATACTGGGTTTAAGTTTCTGCTTTCTACTGGGTGTTTGGGTGCCTTGCTATGTTTTTTGTCTGTTTGTTGTTCCTTTCTGAAATTCTGAAATTCTGGAGTCCTAGACCTCTTTGCCTTTCTTCCACTTTTCATAATTTCCTTTTGTAACTTCTGGCACCATTTAATGATCTTTTTTCTGTACTCAACAGAGTGGACCAAGGGACTATGGATCGATACCATTTTTCCCAGCGTGGGCCAGAGGAACTCATTTATGTATTTCTTTAAAGTAATTATTGACAATTCTCTCTAGTCCTTTAAATTTTCTTTTCTATGAAACACCTGACTGGTGCTTTTCTTTATAGGGACAGGGTTAAAGCCAGAAGATGACATGGGAAATGATGAGTCCAAATCTGCCTCTATATCAGAAATAGAAGCAAGATCATCATCAAAAGTATCAAAAACCAGGAAGAAAACTACCCAGAAAAAAACCAGCAGGGAAGGCCATGTAGATACACTCGGGGTACAGGAAGGTGGTCAGGCTCTTCTGGGGAAGAAAGACATGGCAGGGTCAGTTAGTAAACCACAGCATCGAAAACCTTATAAATGTCAGGAGTGTGGGAAAGCCTTCAGAGTCCCTTCTGAGCTTGCTAGACACCAAAGAGTTCATACCAAAGAGAAGCCTTTTTCATGCCAGTATTGTAACCATTCCTTCAGGTGGAGTTCAGATTTTAAAAAACATTGCCTGGCACACCAAGGGATAAAACTGTATAAGTGCTCCTGGTGCCAGAAAAGCTTTGTTCATAGCACAAACTTACGTACACACATAGTAATTCATACAGGAGTGAAACCCTTTAAGTGTCTGGAATGTGAGAAAGCTTTTGCTCAGAAATGTCACCTCATTAAACACCAGGTAGTCCACACTGGTGAGCAACCCTATACCTGTAGCCTGTGTGAGAGAAAGTTTAACAGAAGGTCCAGCCTTCTCAGACACGAGAAGAAACGTTGTCCAGTAGCAAAGACGATGGCTGAAGTAAATCAGAACAGTGAAGTGACAAACTGTAGAGAAGACAATTAGGAGTTTCCCAATAAGAATCTGTCAAGGAAAGAAAATTGGGGAGAGTTATGTTTTGTATCACAGAAAGGAATCTACGCAGCTCCCCACTCCCAGCACTAAGTTTTAAGTGTTTAGCACAAAATGGGCACTTACTAAATTATGTTATGAATAAAAGAATGAAAATTTGGTTGTCAACTGTGTCTGTAGTTGTGTTTTTCTCTAACACTATCCTCTGGTGTCAGGTGCCATGAACCCTGTGTTCATTCTTCATACTTCCTCAGAAGAGACATAAAATGCTATTGCAGGAGTGAGTTCAGAGAGATTGATATGTGTAGGACAACTTCAGTGGCTATGACTTTAATCTCCATAGGCAACCAAGATGAAGAAGCAGGGAAATATACTTATGAACAGCAAGTGAGGATTAGTGTCTTCACCAGCACAAGTCTTCCCGTTGCAGCTGTCCTCCCGAGTTCTTACTTCTACATTGTCTTCTTTCAAGGAAGTTTGGGGAGCAAGAGAAGACCTGAAAGCCACAACAAACCGAAGACTCTTAGAAGTATTTGCACTCCTCTTGCAATTCTCTGTGTGTGCGCTTGCAGAATGGAATGATCGGGGAAGCACTACATGTCCACATTTAGTTAGTTACCTGTCTCAGTGCAAGTACAGGGCAGTAGTGAAATGACTTGATTATTTTGGCTTTTCTTATTCGTCCTGAAGACTTTCAAATGGGCGTATACCATTCCTGTCCCTAAAGGGAGGTCCAATTTTATGATTTCTTAGCCCTAAATGAGTATGGCTAATTTCTCTATAGAAAGGTCTGAGCATTTAATTTGCTGGTAGTGGCAAGAAGGGCCTTATGTCTCCTCTTTGACATGATGCACATCTGATATTACAAGGGTACATCCAAAAGCAGCCAGGCAAAGAAAGACATGTGCCTGATACTTATGGTCCCTATCAGAATCAGGCCAGATGAAAACTGCTTTGTGATGTTGTTATTTTCTCTCTTCTCCATTTGTGCAAGTAAAGGTGTATCAAAGGCCAATTTGTGCTATTGGGCAAGGTTGCCATATATTTTTTAAATGTTGCCATTAAAAATGACATTCCAGGGGCTGGAGAGATGGCTCAGAGGTTAAGAGCACCAACTGCTCTTCCAGAGGTCCTGAGTTCAATTCCCGGCAACCACATAGTGGCTCACAGCCATCCATTATGAGATCTGGTGCCCTCTTCTGGTGTGCAGATATACATGGAAGCAGAATGTTGTATACATAATAAATAAATCTTTTAAAAAATGACATTCCATACTAAATTTAAACATTGAAAAATGTTTTTAAAACCAAATACCCCCCAAATGACTAATGTTCACTTCTTAACTTTTTTCAAAATTTATTTTTTGTGTGTGAATATTTTACTTGCATGTACATCTGTGCATCATATTGTGTAGTACCAAAGGAGGCCATAATAGGGCGCCAGATCCCCTAAAACTGCAGTTACAGACACTTGTTAGGCACTGTGTGGGTGCTGGGCATTGAACTGGAGTCCTCTGTAAGATCTCTTAACCACTGAGCCATCTCTCCAGTCCTAACATTCACTTTTTGGAATAGATGATTTAAGGCAATTTTTCAAAGACCCTGTTTCCAGATTTAGAAAACTGGAATAGCTCCTACCTGAGAGCTACTGTGTGGGTTAAATGGGACACATTAAAAGCATGCAGGAGAGTAATGGGACGTGTTAGGTGTTCAAGAGTCACTTGGAACAACCTTCATCCACCTAATGATTTAAACAAGAAAATAAACATTGTATGTTTACGCAGTGTGCAGTTGTACTTAAATCTTTTCCATCATTCCCAATTTCCTTTTAATTAGATGCTGCTCTCCACTTAGCCTTTAAAAGATAATGATCGTACTACAGCTAGATAGATAGACTGGTCATTAGTAACAAGCAGAGTATACCAGAGAATATATTTCCCTAGGATGGAGACTGAGCAGCCACCATCCACCCATACCATGGCAATCTGAGGTTGCACCCTGAGATCTAAGTGAGCTGGCTCTCTTACTCTCTATAAATAAATAAATGTAATATAATATAATATTTTTTAAAATTACTGCTGGGGCTGGAGAACTGGCTAAGTGGTTCACAGTACTGATTGCTCTTCCAGGGGACTTGGGTTCCATTCCCACAACCACATGGTGGCTCACAAATATTTTAACTCACTTCCAGAGGCTCTTATGCCTTCTTCTGGTCTCTGAGGGTACCAGGCACACATGTGGTGCAGACACAACACTCATACACATAAAATAATGATAATAAATAAACCATGAGTCGAGCCCCTTCTACAGTAGGCTTGTGTTTTCATTGTTTTTGGAGGGCCTCAAACCTGTTACCCTCTCATGATCTCTCCTAAGAGCCCCATTACTATGCTGTCCCCAGGAACACTGGCATACTTATGCCATTCATGTCCTTCGGATGTTAGGATCCATATGGTTCTTGTTCTAGGAGAAGAATCCCAGGACATATTTCAGTACTAGCACCCCCCTTTCTGGCACGTCAGCTATTGTGCACTGTGGAAAGCACAGTTTAGGTGGACCTGGGCGTGGAACTGACCAAAACCAGTCAGAAGTGCTTCCATGTCTCCCCACCCATCCTGTTTGCTGGCTAGTTGAAACTCACCCTGTTCAACTACACTGTTCCCTCTTGGAAATGACTCAGCCGGAGGTCCCTAGGAAGCAGAAACGGTGGCTAGGATGTTCACGGGCCTTTTCCTGAACATTCCAAATTCTTCCTTCATGCTGAAAGGTGGCCAGGTACAGGGATCTATCTAGCGCCAAAAAGAGTGCTAGGAAAGAGAGCCACTTCCGGGTCTGACTCCATTCCAAAGTTCTCTGAGAAAATGGGGCCTCTTTTGGCTGCTGAAATAAGTAGCCAAGGGTGGGATCACGGCCTTGCCTCAGTGGTTCTCCGCTTCTGGGATTACTTCAGGTGCCAAAGAGGACCTTGCTTAGTCTAGAGAGCTGGTCGGCATTTCTCAGACTCGGAGTAGTGGCACCCGCAGCGACAGCAGCAAGAGTGACTGCACCAGCTGTGCCAGTGGCTATGCAGACTCCTTGGGTGGAGGACAACCGCGGAAAGGGCGTGGGAACCACAAAAGCAACAATGCATTGGTGGCAGCAACAGTGACAGGCGAGACAGCACCAGC